CTCTCCTCATATTCTACATTGAAGCTCTAACCTTAAGTGCATGGAAATGTGACTGCACTTGGAGAAGGTCTTTAAAACAGCGATTGAGGCTGGAGAGATGGCTTAGTGGTTAAGAGCACTGTCAGCTCCTCCAGAGATCCTGAGTTCAATCCCCAACACTGCATGGTGACTCACAACCATCTATACCCTCTAATGCCCTCTTCTGGCATTCAGGTATACATGCAGATAGAGCACTCATTTACATAAATAAATAAATATATTTAAAAAAAAAACAGCGATTGAGTTGAAATGAGTTGAAAGGGTGGACCTTCATCCAATATGACTGGTGTCCTCATATGAGTTTGAAACACACTTATCTTTGCTTGCAGAGAAAGGGCCATGTGAAGACAAAGGGAGATGGCAGACATGTACAAGGTGAAGAACCACACTACAGAAATACCCAGCCCCAGCCAGTCAGTGGTGGTGCACACCTTCAATCCCAGCACTCGGGTGGATCTCTGTGAGTTTGAAGGCACCCTGGTCTAGAAATCGAGTCCGGGATAGCCAAGGCTCTGATACACAGAGAAACCCTGTGGGAAAAAGAAAGAAAGAAAGAAAAGGAAGGAAAGAAGGAAGGAAGGAAGGAAGGAAGGAAGGAAGAAAGAAAGAAAGATCTAGAATACCCAGTCCCAATCATCGTAATGGCATACACCTGTAATTCCACTACTGAGGGGGCTGAAGCCAGAGAATTGCAGAAGCTTTGAGGCTAGCCTGGGCTAGAGAGTGAGTTGTACATACAGTTGTACATACAGTTACACTCTGTATGTAAGGCTGTGCAGCAAAATTGTTCCCTCCCAGCCCCAAGACAGGGACTTATGTAGCCTAACAGCGCCTCAAACTTGCTTTATCGCTGAGGATGACCTCCAACTTCCAATTCTCTTGCCTCTGCCTCTGGAGACCTGGGAGGACAGACGAGCATGATTATGTCCTGTTCCATTTGATGCTGTGCTTTGTGGGAACTGCACAAGCACTCTGCCAACTAAACTGTACCCTAGACTGATGGCCCATCTCAATAAACCACCACCACGGTTGGCATGGTGGCACAAGCCTTTAATGCCAGCGCTTGGGAGGCAGATGCAGGTAGATTTCTGTAGTTCAAGGCTGGCTTTGTCTATGTAGTTAGTTCCAGGCCATCCAGGCTACTTAGTGAGACCCTGTCTTTAAAGAAACAAATAACAAAAAGTAAGCAAGAGGCTGAAGAGACCGTTCATTAGAACACATACTACTCTTGTGGAGACAGTTGAGAGCTTTTGGTTAAGTGGTAGCAGAAAGAATGGAAAAAAAAAAAACCCAACAACAACAACAACAACAAAACAATTCCCAGTCTGGTGCAGGCCTGTAACCCCAGCTGCTTTAGAGGCTGAGGCAGAAGGATCTCAAATTCAAGGCCAGACTGGGCAACTTAAGTGAGATCTTGTCAAAATAAAAAGTGAGAGGAGGGCTGGGGCAGGCATGACTCAGTGGTAGAGTACTTGTATGTGAGGTTCAAGGTTCACCTTCATCTCCCATAAGGTGATTGTGGGATGCCATCAAAGGCCCAGATGGCCATCATCACAACACTAGAACCTTCCTGGGACAGTTACTGGCCAGCACTTACTATGTGCCCTTAGCCCATCCCTTTCAGCCTCATCTAGAAGACAGAAAGCCTCAATTATCCATTCTTTCTGTTCCCAGCTACGGACAACCTCATCCTCTGTTATGAGCAAACCTGTCTTGGGTATGTGTGGGCTTTTGATTGGCTGTGTCCCCACATCCCTGACTGCTCCTCTCTGCCCATCATTCTTCTGTTCTTTCTGTTGCAAAAGGATTAATGGGAAGGAATAATTCAAAGGCTCAAGACAGACTGCTCCAAGATAACTTAGAGAAGCTTAGAGGGAAGCCCCTCCCCCACTCTGCAGTTTCTTCTGAACTGGGAATATATTTCTTTGACTCTCCTCCATGAACTCGGAATAAACCTTTCCAATTCTTTCCCATCATGGGCTGTGCCAGCTTACAGGGGGCAGGCCTTGGAGGGAGAAGGGAAGTCTGACTGCAGCTGAGGCTGGTAGATAGCTCTGACACAGACAGAATTAGAAAGCTGTTGAGGACAGGGAAGGTTATATTTAGCCAGGAGCATGTTTATACCCCAGAGCTGACTCCCCTGGATATCAGGGACTCGGACCCTGGAGCCTTCACAGTTAGCCTACGGGCCAGTCTTTTTTCTTTTCTTCCTTTTTTTTTCTCTCTCTCTTTTTAAGTTATACATTTGTATTATGTTCTGGTTTATAGATAGTGAATTTGTAGACACATATCTGTTCTTTTCTTAGGAAATTATTATTAGAAGTAGCAGATTGGTTTTTGTTTGTTTGTTTGTTGTTTGTTTTGAGATAGGGTTTCTCTGTGTAGCACTGGCTGTCAGAACTCATTCTGTAGACCAGGCTGGCTTTAGACTCAGGATCCACCTGCCACTTCCTCCGGAGTGCTGGGATTAAAGGTGTGCACCACTTCTGCCTCGCTGAATTAATTTATTTTTAAACACACGCCCCCCCTCCCGTGTGTGTGTGTGCCTGTGTGTGTGTGTGTGTGTGTGTGTGTGTGAAGTACTGCCACCTCTCCAGAACCTGTTCCAGAGTCTTGATGCAGCAGTGATGCCCAACCCTCAGGCCACGCCTCAGGCCACTGCATCTCCCGTTTCTAAGTTTTCCGAGCCTTTCAGCTCTCTTCAGCTCTCAGGTCTCCCATAGGGTAGTTAAGGTAGCAGTATGAAAGACAGGACAGTGCCCAGGTAGGGCCAGATGCTGGTTCAATCAGTTGTACATCCTTCAGAGGTATTTAAGTGACTGCGGCTCTGTTTTTTCATCCATAACGAGGGATGAGAATAGCTACCTCGTGGGTAGGCGGAGTTATCTCTGAGATAACACAGTGGCAACCGCTCCGAAAACATCGATGCTTTCCCTTCTGGAGCCTCCCTTAGTGTGGGAGGATTTTTACATGATTTCATGCTCTTTTCTAAGAAAGATAATGGGCTCCCTGGAGATCTAGTGTGTGATTCAAAACACTCACTGGGTCAAAAAGTTTACATATGAATACAAACTCTCTACAAGACAAACTCTAAGAGTAGGAGAGAGAGAGAGAAAGAATTCACCCTTGCAAATTTTGTCCTGGGGATAACTGAGGTTCACAGTCTCAGTCCAGATTTTATCTCATACAAACACTGGCACCTATGGATGGATGGTTTCCTTTTTCCCTCATACAGGTTGGGTTTCCACCCACGTGTTTTTGCAGTCTTTCTTTCTTTTCTTTCTTTCTTCCTTCCTTCCTTCCTCTTTCTTCCTTCCTTCCTTCCTTCCTTCCTTCCTTCCTTCCTTCCTTCCTTTCTTTCTTTCTTTCTTTCTTTCTTTCTTTCTTTCTTTCTTTCTTTCTTTCTTTCTTTCTTTCTTTCTCTCCGAGACAGGGTTTCTCTGTGTAGCCTTGGCTGTCTTGGACTCACTTTGTAAACTAGGCTGGCCTCGAACTCACAGCAATCCACCTGTCTTTGCCTCTTAGAGTTCTGGGATTACAGGCAAGTGCCACCGCACCTGGCTGGCTAGGTAAATACAGACGGACCTAGTTTGTTAATTTTAATAGGTGCATAGCGTTTCATAGAATGCATTAACCTTAATTTTCCAGCCACTGTTGGTTTTGAGACAGGGTCTCTCCCTACATAGCCTTGGCTTTCCTGGAACTCACTATGTAGGTCAGGATGGCCTCGAACTCACAGTTATCCGCCTGCCTCTCCAAGTGCTGGGATTAAAGATATGTGCCACCACGCCCTGTATCACTTTTCATTTGATGAAATATTTTGTTGATTCGTTTTTTTCGAGACAGCATTTCTCTGTGTGGCCTTGGCTCTCCTGGAACTTGATCGGTACACCAGATTGGCCTAGGACTCAAAGATTCGCCTGCCTCTGCCTTCTGAGTGCTGGGATTAAAGGTGTGAGCCGTCCCTGGCCATTTGAGGAATTTTAATTGATTAATTTTATGTGTATCGATATTTTGCCTGCGTGTATGTCTGTGCACCATGTACAGGACCGGTGTCTGCACAGGTCAGAAGGGTGCACCGGGACCGGAGTTACAGGTGGTTACTGGGTGCTGGAATGCGAACCCGGGCCCTCTGGAATAGTCAAGTGTTCCTAACTGTTGAGTTCTCTCCAGTCCAATGACTTTTTTTTTTTTTTTTTTAATCTTGTCACTACAGTGGATAATGGTGATCCCTGCACCAATAACTTGATGAAATGCCTAAGGCATCCATTCCTCCAAAACCCCTATTTTGAACAGTTTAAACAGTGAGGGAGACTACCCTGGACTCTGAGCTTCCTCCTTCATGCCTTATTTCCGAAGGCTTTCACTTTTTAAACTCCAGCGCTAGCGGGCAGGCGAGGGACGCCTCCAGCGCAGGAGCCGCTCCTTGCAGGGAGCTTTTCATTGACTGGGAAAGCAGACTGCTCTGTCCAGCGAGCCCCGTTTAAGGCGCAAGGGCGAGGAAGGAGGCCAGGAGGCTCGTGTGCCCGGGACAGTGCCTTCGCCTTCTTTGGGGAATCTCAGCTTCCTTCTGCTGACCCAGTCGAGCCTCGGGCTGGTGGCCTCAAATGTCAGATTGGCTGGCTGCTCCTGACTCTACGATGGGCCTCATCCTCGAGAGCCCCACACTGTATTCCCTCCACGCTGCAGGACCTGCCGGAGAGGAGGACGCTTCCTAAAGTCAGAGAGAAGGAAGCACGCGCCATACTCAATCTGTACTCCTGCGCGGCTTTGGCGCACTCCCGCTCTCTGGGATCTGCTATCGATTGCTCCCGTCTGAACCTCCCGCCACGGAGTGCGCGGGCGCTCCGGCTCAGCCTAGGGTTTGCTTCTGCCTGGTCCCGCCCTCCGGAGAGCGTTTAGGCGGGGCTGTCATCCGGGACTCGGCCAGCAACTTGTTTCCCCTTCGCTTGCCTGCCGCCGCTTCCGCTTCCGGTAATAGCGAGCGGCTCTGCGTCCTAAGTGGCCATGGCGGGTAGCCGGTTGGAAAGGGTGGGGAGCGTGTTCTCCCGGTGCGTGTTCCCAGTCAGGCGTGGGCAGGGCTCCCACCGGGTCACGACCCTCCCGGCGTGGTCTGAGGGGACGCGGTTGCGGGTGTCCGAGCCGGGTGAGGCCCTCGTGCTCCCTCCTGGCTCGGACTCGGTGTGTTTGTCTGTGTCCCCTTGGATTTCTGATCTGTCAGATTGTGTCCGCCACCCCACTTTGGTGGAGACCTCTAGAAGAAAGAGGAGGCTGAAGAACCTGACTGGACAGTCTTGCCAGTTTTCACCGTGGAACGGTGGATGGGCTGGGGTTGAGACCGGTGGGAGAGTGGCGTAAAGCTGAGTGTGGTGGCTCACGCGCGCAAACTCAGCACGTGGGAGGCGAGGCAAGGCGATCGCCCCAAGACCGATGCCCACCTGGCATCGTAACGAAGTTCAGGCCAGTCAGGCCACTGCCTGGCTTTTGTCAAAACAAAGAGCCTGCGTGGATACGCTGTAACCCTAGCACCGGGAAAGTGCAGGGAGCCACTAAATTCAAGGTCATCCTCAGCTACCAACTTGAGTTTAAGGCTAGCTTAGGCTACATGAGACCTAACCGACAGGACTTAACGCTTTGGCCTTGCTAGGTTGCTGTGGGAATTGGCCATGCCTCCTCCAGGTAGGAGGTCCTTCTCAGCTCCCCTGTACCCCCTGCTGTTGTCTGCTTTAAGTTGATTCAGGGACTTTGGCAGGCTATTGTAACCGACTGACCTTGGTTCTGTTCCTCCTCCAAGGACACGGGATCTGATGCGTGCTGGGGTTTTGAAGGAGAAGCCAGTGTGGTTTGACATATATGAGGCCTTTCCGCCTCTGAGAGAGCCTGTCTATCGAAGGCCCCGTTTGCGATATGGCAAAGCCAAAGCTTCCATCCAGGACATCTTTTACCAGGAGGATCAGATTCGAGCGTAAGTGTCTTATCTTCTGTAGTGAGCAGGACGCAACAACAGACCTCCAGAAAAGGAAGGTTTATGTAGAAGTCTGCTAACAAGCTGAGTCAGGGCTTTGCTCTCTGGAGTTGGTCTTGTATACCAAATAAAAGAAACGGAAGTTTTAAGAAGTGGAATCTGGGGACCCCAGACCGGCAGAACATTGCAGCCATAGTTGTCTGTTTTCCTGGTGGTCTGTTCTGAGTGGGGTACTTGGATAAACCCTTGACAAGCATCAACTCATAGACTTTATAACTCTAACCCTGTCTTGGAAGGCAGGTGTCATTGCCTTTGTTTTATTCAAGAGAACTATCAGATTCAAGGAGGTTCACCACCTGTGGCTAACCTTGAGGGTGGCAGATCTGGTTAATCGCATCTGGCTGTCAGCTTCCGGTTTTCTTTGGAAGTGGAAATAGAGGAATATGGTCTGTGGATTTCATGTCTGACAGTTGTTGAAGCCACTCTGAAAGGGATGCCCGGAAGTTCAGAGCACTTAAAGCAATCATGACCAAAAATTTGAAGGAAAGTGCTTGCATGCCTTAGCATCTATTTCTTCCGTTTTATCTCTTGAGACAGGGTCTTGATCTTTCTGCCTCTGCCTCTGGAGTCCTGCCTCTGCAGGTGTTGCCGGCTTGTATCACCATGCTTGGCTATTAACACACATTTACTGTGTAGTAATAAATGAGAAGCAAAAGGAAAGCATAAACAACGTAAAAGCACAGATCACCCCCCCCCCCCTTTAAGTAGTGGTTGGAAGGCAGCTCCTGGAACTTAGCTGTGTCACTTTGAAAACACTGTCCCTGTAATCATCGTAAGACAAAATACATATCAAGAGTTGTAAAGGTGAAGGAAGATGCTGCTTAAGAAGTATTTTGCTATTTTTTAAGATTTATTTTTAATAACCTGTGCTTGTGTTGGTGTGTGCATGTGAGTGCAGGCGCCCTCTGGAGGCCAGAGGTCTTATTTTTAAAATAAAGATTTGTTTTTATTTTATGTGTGTAGAGTTTTGCCTGCACATTTATCTGTGCAGCATGTGTGTTCACTGCTGGAGGAGGCCAGAGGAGGGTGTCAGATACTCTGAAGCTCCTGCCCTTCGTGCTGGGAAGTGTAGGTGTTCAGGTCTTAGGCACGAGCAGCACTGGCTCTCAACTGCTTAGCCATCTCTCCAGTCCCATAATGCTCTTCTTAATGTATAGAAGTTATTTATTTCATTTTACAAGGTCTGTGCTGTTCCTTTTGTCAAACACTTCTAGATGTGTTAGGCACCGAGAAATATAGTCACTTCTACCAATTTTTCTTTTTGTTGGCCTAATTGCCTTTATTCTTAGAGTATTTGGGAAGCTATTTTTCAGTAAATCCAGCTATTTATTTATGTGAGTATGTATGTATGCTTTTATTTGCATTGGTGTTTGCCTGCATGAATGTGTCTGTGAGAGTGCCTGATCCCTTGGAACTGGAGTCATAGACAGTTGTGAGCTGCCATGTGGATACTGGGAATTGAACCTGGATCCGCTGGGGGGAAAAAAAAAAAAACAGCTTGTGCTCTTAATTGCTGAGCCCTTTCTCCAGCCCCTTATTTATTTATTTTTAACCCAGGATGTTATTGAACTTGTAGTCCTTTTGCCTTTATCTCCTGACTTCTGGGATTCTGAGTATGTGATACCACATCTGGGTTTTTGTTGTTATGTTTTTAAATTTACTACATTTATTTATTCTCTCTGTGTGTATGAGTGTACTTATGCACATGTTTGTGACATGCATGTGGGATCAGAGGACAACTTGTGGGAGTTGGTTTTTTTCCTTTTACCATGGGAGTCCTAAGGGTCCAATTCATGTTATCAGGCTTGGGAGCAAGCACTTTTTACTCTTGTTGGTCCCGGGCCTGCCTTTTTTTTTTTCTTTTCTTTTTTTTTTTTTTTTTAGTTACTTTCAAAGTACTAATTAGGTGTTGTTGAAACAAATAAAAATGTGTTTTTAGTTTGCTTTCCACTCCGTCTAACCTAAGTAGTGTTGGAAAATGGCCTTCTAATGTCTTTAAAACTTTTTTTTTTTTTTAACAGTAAAGAAAAATTCAGATGTCACACTCTAGGTGGGCATGATAGCTCACACATGTAGCCCCAGCACCTGGCACGTGAGGCAGGTGGATCAAGAGTTTGAGGTCAGCCTGGTCTATAGAGTTAAACTGGGTTTCATATAAGCGAGGGCTGCACCTCATTGTTAGAGGCTTACCTAGCTTGTGTGAGGCCTTGGGTTCTTACAGAACTACTGTGGACCATGTGCTGTCCTACTCATTGTCGTGATCTCAGTCTATCCCAGTTCATGGCCTGCAAGTTGTTCACAACTCTCCAAGGAGGAAACGTTAGCAACCTAATGATGAAACCACTAAGCTAGCAGGAGCAGATACTGAAGAGGGAGGGTAGAGAGGTCAAGATTGAGCTAGGTTTTTGTTGTTTTGTTTTTTGAGACAGGGTTACTCCAGCGGAGGCCAAGGTGATCTCAATTATGTGCAATTTCTTCAGCCTCCTTAGTGCTGGGGTTACAGACAGGAGCTACCATATTCTGCTCTCTGTAGCACTTTCCTGAGGTAGCAGAGACAAGAATGTTCTTGCTCTCTGAGATTTTCCAAGCATTTCTGCTCAGGTTTGTTCATGTATTTGCTCACTTAAACACTGCCTCTTTGTGCTTTGCTGTGCTAGGAGTTGAGCCTATGTTCTCATACATACCTGGCAAGCTCTCAGCCAATAAGCCACTGCAGAACTTTTTGGTGGTTTTGTTTTGAGACTCACTGCGATTCCCAGGTGGCACTTGCTATGTAGACCAAGCTGGTTTGGATGTGGAGATATCTCCCACCTCTGAGAGTGCTGTCTTTTTGCTATGTCCTTACTTGGGAGAGAACAGAGAGGAAGCATGCCTTCGCCTTCTGTCTTTTTCTAAGGATGTCAATGCTATTTTATTTAAGGGTTGTACATGTAACCTAATGAGCTCCCAAAGCTCCCATTTCTACTTTTACACCTTGGGGTTTCCACATAGGAGTTTTTAGTTCAAAGCAACCACTACAAGGAAAATGGGCAGAGAAGATGAATAGTTTACAGAAAAGGGATCCAGTTTGCTTTCAAATTCAAAAAGTTGTCTAATGGCTTTCCTTTTCTTTTTGCACGGGATGATTTGGTAGTGGTGATGAAACTATAATTAATTGTAATTAATTGATAAATTTGGCAAAGCTCATGAAACAGGAAAGTAGGCACATGTATATTGTAAAATTTAGTTGAGTACAAATTCGGCATAGCAGCTTTAAAAAGCATTGAGGCAATTTGGAAGATTTTTGTGTCTGTTTCTGTTTTTCAGATAAATAAGCACACACTCTGATCTCATAATACATTTTTGTGGATTTATTCCATGACTTACTTGTACAGTACACGAGGAAGCACAGGTGTTCCTGCAACAGTTTTCATGGCAAAGGACTAGAAACAGTTTCTGCTTCAATCTGAGATAATCTCTAAAGAACATAAGCTGTGGACTGAGGGGTGTGAGTGTATAAAGGTTCTGGGCTCTGTGGGGGGGGGGGGAGGATGATCAAATTGTTTCAGAGGGCCAGCACGATGACTCAGTGGGTAAAGGCACTTGCTGCCAAGCCTGATGACCCGAGTTCAAACCCCGAAATCCGCATGGTGGAAGGAGAAAATCTACTCCCTAGAGTTTTCCTCTGACCTCCACTCATACGTTGGGACATGCACATGCCTACACACACTAAGTAAATAAATAGACGTGGTTTCACATGTTCTGGAACGACTGAGGTGACAGTTGTGTGACTGACAGTACTAAATGTCACTTCCTAGTACGCTTAAGAAGGGTTGTTAATTTTTATTGCATTTTATTAAAGCGGGGATGTGCGTGTGTGCACAGGTATGAGTACATGCTACAGCACACATGTAGAAGTCAGAGACCAACTTAACAGGGGTCCTCTCCACCCCTGTGGGTTCTAGGGATCAAATTTAGGTGTTAGGTTTGGTAACAAGAGCCTCTACCTACTGAGCCACCTCAAAGGCCCAACAGGGATTATGTTTTTTTTTGATAGGCAGATTCCTCCCCAATTTAAAAGAAAGGGAGCCGGGAACTCTTTGGGTTAAAAAATGTGGCTGGGGACTTGAAGAAAACTCACTGTGTAAGAACACTTGCTGTGAAAGTCTGAAGACCTGAGTGTGATCTCCAGCACCCATCTAAAAAGCTGGGCGTGGCTCCATGTGCCTGAAACCTCAGCACTGCAGGGTAGAGGGCTTGCTGGCCAGCCAGCCCAGCCAAAATGCTGAGCTCCCAGGCCGGCCAGAGAGCTGATCTCAAAGCATTCAGTGGTAGAGGGAGGCACTTGATGTCGTCCTCTGTCTCCACACAAACCTAAACACTCAGTGTGCATGTGACAGATACACACACACACACACACACACACACACACACACACACACGGGCGTGGAATGATGAATCTAGTAGTACCTGTTGGTGGGGTATTTCCAAGTGTGGCAGCACATGAACCTGGTTAGTGTTGCTCTCTGAGGGGAACGGGGAAGATGGTGGAGCAGAAGGAAGAGGGAGTGTTAGTTCTCACGTATTCCTTTGTCCCTCGATGTAGCGTGGTCCTTTGGCTGAGGCTCTGTAACTTCTCAGGGCCTAGCACTCATTCTGTATTCCCTCTGCCCATTCTCCATTGCCTATAACTGGAGATTCATATAGTGTCTGTGTTTTCTAGGAAATTCTTTTCGGCCTATGGATCTGGTCAGAAAGCTTTTGATCTGTTCAACCCAAAATTCAAGTCTATCTGTCAGCGGTAAGCATTTCCAGGCCTGAGTAAACCAAGCTCCCCCCTGAGGGTTGTGTGGAGGTCTCACAGGAGGGTGCTCCTTCCGGTGGGGTGCTCCTCCAGGAGGGTGTGCCTTCAGGAGGGTGCGCCTTAAGGTGGGGTGCTCCTTCTGGAGAGTGCTCCTTCAGGTGGGGTGCTCCTCTAGGCCGCTCTCTCCAGTGCCTGCGTGGTACCATGTAGAAGGTGACTCTACAACCCCAGCACAGGCCTAGGATGGGCTGCTTGGAATTTCAGGTTTGTGGAGAAGTACATGGAGCTGCAGAATCTGGGAGAAACAGATGAAGAGAAGTTATTTGTGGAAACGGGGAAGGCTTTGTTGGCAGAAGGTGTCATTTTGAGACGAGTAAGAGAAGCCAGGACTGTGAGTACCTAATTGTCAAAGCTGTTATTGTTGGGCAGAGGGTGTAACTCAGCAGTAGCGTGTGTGCCCAGTTACACACAGACACACACAGACACGCACAGAGTAATTTCAATTGGTGTTGTCTCTCTGTCAGTAAAAGGGGTTAGTTTGTATCTTGAAACCTTGGCTCATACCTTAAACTCCAGGTCAAATACTGTTGTATTGAATATACGGGGATTCTGTGGCCACTGCTTGGAACAAGTGAGTTGTGGTTAGGCTCTTGAGAATGTGTTTCTATAGGACTCTTTGTGCATTTGCTGTATGTCAGAGAATTTGACTTGAGTGCCAAATGTTTCCCTAATGGCAGAGCGTGTCGGGTCACACGCTGTAGCCAGCCGCAAGCACTGGCAGCATGGAGGAGACATGCTTGTTGCTGGTCTTGCAAGCAAGATGACGGTGATCAAATTCCCTGCAAACCCTGACAGGTCAATGTGGGACCCCAAGCCTCGTCAGAAGGAAAGCAGCCTCAGGAAGAAGAAGCCCGGGCGCAGCAGGAGCCAAAGACGGCTCTCTCCCCGCCCTGAGGCCCGTCTGCATGGAGCCTGCCCACCACGGCTGGGCTAAGCTGTTTGGACTCTGGTGGTCTCCCATCTCTCAGGCATGTGTGCCTTCTCCTAGTTCTTCTTTCTGAGTTGTTACAAATCTCAGCCCCGGGGTTTGAAAGCGCCAGTTTTGTGAACTTTTCTTTCAAGACATGGTTAAATAAAGGGTTCTCCAGTGCTTACAAAGTAAATTTGCTTTGAAACTGTAAATAACACCAGGAAACCTTTAAAGGTGCATTGAGCTGGCTGCAGGCCGACCACATCTGAACTCACTGTGCTTCTCGTCTGGAGCCCTCAGAATTTCACCTACCCACGTGGCGTGATCCCTCTGCCAAGTGTTTCCGTCTGCAGGTGACGTTTGTACTTTTTGCTGTAGAGCTATTGACTGCAGTTTGAGAGGGACAGCAGAGGCACAGCAGCTCCTGCTGCAGGAAGACTGAGGACTGTCTGATGTGCACAAAGGCCAAATCCATAACTTGAATGTCATGGGTTAAGTGTGTTGGAGAGGATTAGCATGGGCTTACAGCTCATAGGCTGCTTAGAAAATGTTTGATGAATGAATAAACAATCACACCTAACTAAAGACTAATATTTTTATTAGTCACTGGATTTCCAAGATCGAAGGGGTGGGAGCAGCTGATTCAGATATTCCGATATCCCGCCTCCCTGGTACTGCTTCATTACGCTGTGTTTTACTAAGAGATCATTTTGTGATGTAGTTCTTACAGTTGTGGGTAGTAGTTTTCAGCCAGTAGTCAAAAGCAGCTTCAGATATGCCTTCCTTAAAAGCCTCTGTGGCTTTCCCATGCAGTTCTCTGAGTTCAGGCCTCTGTCTTGAACTGAAGGACAGAGTCCACAGACTCTCCACCTCATGGCATGTGAGTGCTGGGTGAAGGGGATTGAGTCTTCCGGCTGAAGTGTCTCTATGCTGTGTTGCCAGATGCTTCCAGCATTGCTGCTGCTTATTGGTTCTTCATAATTGGGGAATCTTGCTTCAGGTGGAGAAGCAAATCTCATTTATTCAAAGACATTAGACACCTGTTGGTTCCCAAATATCTGGCTAGTCTTTGGGAAGAGCTGGCACTGGGCTTGCCAGTGAGCCAGCCGTGAGGGTGTGAGAGCGGGAGAGCTGGTATAGCCCCTCACCAGCTGCAGCCCTCGGAAGAACAGGCACTGCACCTTGACTGGGCAGCACAGTAGAGCTAGCTCTGGTGGCCTGGGTGTGGGTGAGTTGGCCCCAAGGACATGAAAACCAGAAAACTGGTCCCGCTCCTTGCTGGCTGCCTGAATTGGGTGAGCTGGCCAGGGCAGGGTCCAAGAGAACACCCTGGTGATGTGGGCCTGAGAGAGCCAGTGGGCTGACCAATTCACCCACCATCCAGGCAGATCCAGGGCTTTGAGCTGGCCCACCCCAACATCTGTCCCACCTATGAACTGCTGGAGCACGTGAAGGGGCCAGTCCTGAAGATCCAAAGCTGTAGGATCTCCATGCCACAGGGCGACAGTAGGTTATCAGAGAGGAGTCCTGATGAGGCTCCAGTACTGATAGTGTGAACATTTGCAAGCAAAGAAATTCGGACAAAGACTAATCTGTGGGGCACGCTGTGACACACTGTAGCTTCCCCCACCACCAGGGTGAGCTCTCCCATGCTCGTGGCCTCGTGACTCAGTCGCAGCCCCCACAAGCAGAGTGAGCTCTACTGTGCTGCAGCTGGGGAGGGCAGCGCCAGCTCTCCTGCTTTCACGATCCCCGGCGTCCCAGTGAAAAGTAGAAGCCAGTTCACACATGAATCCCAATGTCAGGAGACAGACATTAGTGGACCTCTGGGTTCCAGCTAGCCGACCAGCCTAGCCAAATTACAGACCTGACTCAAACAAAAACAAAACAGCCAAACAACAATCCAAACTACCACCACCACCAAAACCCAAAGTGAGCTGGGGGTGGTGGGGCACACCTTCAATCCCAGCACTCTGGGAGGCAGACACAGGCGGGTCTCTGTGAGTTCGAGGACAGCCTGGTCTACAAATTAAGTTCCCTGACAGCCAGGGCTACACAGAGAAACTGTCTCGAAAAAACAAAAAAAAAAAACCAATGCCTCCCAAACCCCACAAGGTGGTTGGCACCTGAGGAATGACACCAGAGCTGCTCTGGCCTCCACTCATGCACGTGCGTCCATGTGGTGGAGGCTTCTCGTGGTGGTGGTGCCATCCTCTCGGAATACTGCATGAGGGGAGCAAAGGTTCTGTGCTGGACCTCTCCTCAGCCTTTACGGTTTCAATTTTCAAATGGTGGCCCAGGTTGGAAACTGTATGGTTCAGCTTGAGTGTCACCTTCCTGCTGAACCCCACACCCTGTGGCTTGTGTGCCAAGTCTGCTGCCTGTGGCCCGCAGCGAACTTCCCGTGGCCTTCATTCGGCTACAAGCCTTCCTTTCCTATTAAGAACAAACAAGGACAGACACTTTCACTTTGTAGCCACTGAAGCATTGAACAGCTTTTCAGGAGCAGGCCCTCCCGAGGGCTCGAGTCAGGCTCCAGTGAAGTTTGCCAAGGACAAGCCTGAAGAGCTGGGTCCTCTGGATGCCTCGTTTGTACTGGTGTCACTTTGTGCCCAGACAGACAAAATAAGAGCAAGGTTTGCCTCGACTTCCAGTTGGCATTTGAGATGAGTTGAGGTGGCAAGTGCGAAGCTTGCTGGTTTTGTCGTGGGTATGGATCGGTATTCTGGGGAGTGACGGGAAAGAGGTTTGAGCATACGGGGTGGGATCAGATCGTGAAAGCTTTGGCAGCCACATGGAGGAGTTCCGCTGGGTAGGAAAGCGAGCAGGGAAGCTGTGTCAGCATCAGGTCAACAGGAAGGCACAGCCAGGACTTGGAAGGGAGGAAAAGAGGGCATCCCAACTACAAACGTGAGTGACCAGGAGACTGCCAGTTTTACGAAGGGAGAGCTAGAGGAACAGGGCTTTAAATCTGCTCAGGTGTTAGTCATAGCCCAGTGCCCAAGTGGAAGGGCTATTGGGCCCAGGTATTTAAGGAATGGATAAGTCTCTAGTAAAGGAGTAAGAATCAGAGCTGATGGTGGTGGCGGTGGTGGCGGTGGTGGCGGTGGTGGCCGCAGGGCACAATGCAGAGTGTGGGATCTGGCCAGAGAAACGTTCTCAGTTAGGGAGAGGAAGGAGAACCCTAACCCTAACCCTAACCCTAACCTTGAGGCAGCAAAAGAAATGGAAGCAAGGGGCTGATAACCAAGTCAGTAAGTGGCTTGCCTTGCAAGCATAAGGTCCTGAGTTCGAGCTCCACCACCCATGATTTAAAAAAAGAAAGGCTGGGTATGGTAGTACACCCTTGTAATCTCAGTGTTGGGGACACAGAAATGGGAATCTCCCTGGAGCTTGCTGGCCAGTCAACCTAGCTTACTTGGTGAGTTCCAGGCCACTGAGAGACCTTGTTTCAGGAGAAAAGAAAAAGTCGGTGGTGCCTGAGAAAGACACGGAGGTTGTCCTCACCTCCACACTCGTGTGCACACACATGCCTGCACCTTGTGAGTATCTGTAATGCCATCACAGGCTGCAAGTTTGAGCCAGACTGATCTTGAAAACAAAACAAAACAAAAAAACCACACACACACAGTCATTAAAGCAGGAAGATAACGTTTCCTCTGAGCTACTACTGGTACCTGGCTAGCTCCAGAGGATCCAGATGTGGTCCTCTTGGAGTCACCGGGCCTTGTCCATTCTCTTCAGATCTGGCTGTGGCCAAACCTGACAGGAAGCTGAACTGGGTTGGCAGTCCCTTCTGGTCCCCCTCCACCGCCCAGTCTGTCTAGAAGAGAGGGCATCTGGCACAATGTGGCCACGAGGTGAGGTCAGCCAGAGCAGAGCTGGGTAGAGTGAGGGCGGGGCAGGGAACGGGGGCTCTCATTTCCTTCTTGCTCTGTGCTCTTGGGGTCGGTTCCAGAGGTAAGTCAGGTCCCAGCTTGACTGCTGGGTGAGCTGTGGGCTGCCAGGCTGTTTCAGTGAGCCTCTTGGTGGAGGTCACCTTGGCTGTCGGAGGAAGGGCAGTTGCCCTCCTGTGGAAAAGACAGGAAATGGTTTCCATGTCACTCCTAGGGCAGTGCTCAGTGTGGCACGCCGGCCTCTGATTGGACGAGCCTAGCTCCAGAGTAGTTTCTGTGGAGATGCACCAGGCAAGAGGCTATTGCCTGGTGCAGTGAGAAGGTTGCCAGGGGAGGGAAAAGGAGACAGAGAGTAGGCTGTCATGCCCCCTAAACATGTCACCATCAACCAGCATTGCTTCCTTCCACCAGGAGATTGCAGAGGGAGTTTTTGTTGTTGTTGTTGAATTGCTAAGCTGACAATCACACGGCACTTCAAGCTTAATTTTCCCCTTGATTGACGCTTTTCCTGGGCTCTAACTTAAACACCAGTCACCTGACCTTCTCCCTGCTCCGTTCTTTTAATTAAAAGATGGTTCCGAGCAGCGACGAGTAGGGGTCCATTTATTATTTATCAAGCATTTGCCTTCCAGCAGTTAGCGAAAGGTCACTGGCTTCAACGGATGCTTTGTTTTTTGTGAGCAGCTTAGATGAAAAAAGATAGACCGTCAATCTTGGCTCCCTCCTGTTTGCTTACTGGCAGGACACTGTTTAATAGTCATTGTGGCATTTAGGATCGCAGGCCTCGGAATCATGCAGAAAAGTGCATGTGCGTCCCTTGTCAGAACACTTCTCCAAAAGTAAACATCAGGTTGTGATTATGGTTAATAATGAGATATTGATTGTCTGAAGAATGTCACCGCCCGGGAGCAGTCGGCTGCATCGCCGCTAGGTGGCGCTGCGCGCTCATGCTTGTTCAACTAGAAAGCTCCTTTCATTCCCTTGCCTCCGGGTACCTTGTCTTTCAAGGTTGGCAAGCGTCCTTGTGAAATAACGTTCTGGCTGAGATTTAGGAAGCTGGGGTCCTGGGGTGCTATCGGAATGGACAAATGACGGGGGCCTGCGGCTGTATGTGTAGAGGGGAGCGGGCATGCAGCTCCTTACACTACAGCAGGAGCCGGGAGAGGAGGGCGCTAACTATCTGGGGCCCCTTCCTAACCTTCTCCACTCAATGACACATCTGCAAATTTCATGTAGAGGAATCGGGAGGGAAGGTGTAGGGAAGAGGGAGGGGTAGAAGAACCCCGAGCCCGAGAAA